GAGGAGGGGGTACAGAGAGGGTGGTATTTAAAACTAATTATCTGAGAAGCTTTGTCTCAGTGAGGCCCTGGGGACCTTGCAGGCAGTCCTGGGTTGAGGTGTGTGTATGTGTGTGTGTGTATGTATTTAGACCAGAGGTCAATATTAGGTGTCCTTCTTAATTATTCTCCTTCTTATTATTTGAGACAAAGTCTCTCATTGAACCTGACACCCAAATTGTACATGGGCTCTGGAGATCTGAACTTAGGTCTTCATGCTTGAGTAGCAGGCATTTTACTGAGCTCTCTCTCTAGCTCTGCAGAGTAGGGTATTTGAAACACCGAAGTTCATGCTTTTTCTCATGTTGCCAGGGATTTTTCTTTTTGTTTATCAGTTTGTTCTTTTCATGAGGATTTTTCCTTCTGGAAGAACATTGCCATCAAGGATGCTAGGTCCATGTGTTCACTCTCTGGCTCCCAGGACTGAGGTCCCCTGCAGAGTGCAGTGCCTGCCGACACCAGTCAGTCCTTTGATGGGGAATGTACTGTGTGTGTTCATCTTATTGATTACTGAATAAAGTACTTGTTTGGCCAATGAGACAGCAAGTTAGACGGGACTAGGAGTCAAAGAGGATTCTGGGAAATGTAGTAGAGAAGTGGTGATCCACGCAAGAAGTGTCATAGCAAGGAGCCTCATATTTAAGCAAGGAGAAACAGGAAGGGTTCCCCTTTCCCCTCTGCTCTTCCTCCAGTGGCGCAATGTGATCCACCAGCAAGGAGGGATGCCCATAAGGCATCCGATCAGTCTTATAAAATATATAGATTTATGATAATTAAGACTGGGCTAACAGATGAGAATCCTAGTCATTGGCCAAGCAACTTTGTACCTAGTATGTCTTTGTAATATTTGGTCCATCCACGTGGTGGGCAGAACTCAGGCGGCTGGTGGAGACTGCCCACGTGGAGGTAGGGCTCGGGCGGCTTTTGGCTGAAAGATTTATTGTAACAGTCCTTGGCCTTCCCACAGAGAGGACCATACCCTGTAACTCTTGCTCAGCTTTCTGACCTCTTAGGTTAGCAGTGGGTCTCAGGCAGGGCTGAGTGCCAACTCCCCATTTGGACAGCACTACTACTGACACGGAGTGCACCGGCATTTTGGAGAGCAGACCCCTGAGTGATGATTCTCAGTGAAGACCATTTCCAAGGAGAGCTATTTTCACTCCTTTCTGACTGTCAGGTGTGCTTGCAGAGACTTCTGCCACAGGGGCTGGAACACAGGAAGCACATGGCCGCACCAGCAGAGGTGTCTTTGCCTGTGACTCTCCACACAAATGAGGGTAAGCAAACAACACTGTAACTGAGTAGGTACTCTTCATGGCAAAGCCCAAGTATACAGAGATGGTGGCAAGAATAGGGAGTGTGTGCAGGGTGGCTTGGGAGAGGTGAGAGCTGGCCACATCACTTTAAGCTTTCTCCACTGGGCCAGTTTCCTCCTAGCCCCATCTTTACATGGCAGGACAGGCAGAGTGTGGGAGCTGTGTGGAAGCTGCTGCTCTGCTCCAAGTCTTCTCTCCCAACTGGGTTCAGCTGTCTTCTGCTAGGTTCAGTTTGCTCCAAACTCCCACCTTGACGTCTAACCCACCTTGACATTTATTTATCACAACCCTGGACTGTATTGGACAAAATATTGGAACAAATTTGTATTTCTTGTCTTTATCTCAGGCCAAGTGAGAAGTTGAGGGGGAAATTACCAGATGTAATTTCAGAAACTTCAGCAATGAGATTTTCCTAAGTGTAAGATACAAGGTGATTGGCATGTGCCATCATGTGCTTTATTTTAGAAGATTCCTTTTGGGTCAAGAGTCTTAGAATAGTGAGAACTTGCTGGAAGCCCACTGAAGGAGCCTCTCACCTTTCCATTGTCCTTTACACCATCAAGTGGGGAGCCCCCACCTTCCCACTGACCCTAACCATCAAGTGGAAAGCGTGGGGTTACAGGACCAATGTAGAACTGTGGTTGATGGATTCATGTTTCAACCTCATACAGCAAGGAATGGAAAAGGTTTTATGGATGGGACTGAGTTTAGTGTTTTTCCTATAAAATAATTTCCACAAATTTAGCTTCAGGCTCTCCTTCTCTGTCTGATATAGGAGCCCCGACTTAGAATTCATTTGGGGGGACATCCATAAAACATGCAATCTTGTGGCCAACAACCCCACCTCTGTTGTCCATGTCAT